CAAGAGCAACACCTAAATGATCAACAACAATGACTCGTAACTTTGGAGGTGATGTTGGCAACAATACAACGTAACATGCTTGTAAGCCAGTCGAATAGCATCATTCAGCTAAGACAAACTTCCATTACAAGTCAGGCAAGAAACCCAACCTCCAGTACTAGCCATGAAGTATGATTTTATTTATTTACTTAATATTTATTTGTTTATTATATTTATTAATTTAGTTTTAATACTTATACTTCATTATATATTGTAACAGGATGTTGAAACTCAGAAAATGACCCTTGCTCAAGCTGCCATTAATGTATAATCTAATTATGTACTTGATCATTTATCCGGAGGAAGCTGCATTACCTTGAGTCCGAGGATGGGTTATTTTATCATCTATCAGTTTTTTACATTGGGGGCCTAAGATTAAGGAATTTTGTACCTTGGATGAAATATCAACTTCTGATATTATTACCTATATGAGGTTAGCTTATAAATTTAAAATATGCAAAGTCAATATGTAGTAATCTATATTATGATGTATTACTAACTAGTATTGTTGATTGTTATCATACAGCTTTCTGTATTGAGAGATCAAAGCGAGATAAATGACCTATAGATTCAGATTCATTGACCCAAATTTCATTAGTGAGCATAATGGCACTATCATTTTTCGTGGTCGTCATGTGAGTCAATTCATAAAAAAACAAGCTGATTATTTTTTGGTCCCATATAATGATACGTAAATTACATTCATATAAATAATTATTCCAACCTTACCCGAATCTAAGATGATGCCTAATTTGAGTATATCATTCTTATATTTTATAATCATCATTGGCAGCTTGTTGTGATTAATACTAATTCCTTTACGTCATACTTATTTAATTCTGCTTAACCAACAATGAAGCCTAACCTTAATATTTAAAATTTTATAAAGAGGTATTACATCTTAGTATATTATCTTTTGTTTCTTTATAATTACTTTTATTTTTATATTAAGTACTTTATTTCTTTTCAATTTAAAGGAATGTCTACGATTGAAAAGAAAGCAAAGATAAATTAAGTGTCATTACCGATAAATGTGAAATTTATTCTTTTATGCTGAGTTTGTTTAGATAAATATTTTTTAAAACCACTAAATTTATTTTTCAAGTACCTTGTCAACCAAGATATACTGAATATGGATATTATGTTCTTCATTTTATGAGGGAGATAGTTTTATATGATTTTATAACCATACCATTCAAGGTTAGTATTAATTTCATACAATCGTAATATTTTTCAAAAATAAAGCTAAATTATGTTCTCGTTCATTAACATTTACTTCTGATTTTTTTATAGTGGGAGAGTAAAGGAAGCTTCACGATATATGAACTTGATGAAGTTCGTAAAGAGTGGTTTGAGTATATATTATAGTTCGTTACACCTTGAAGTTGAAGATTGTTGGTTGGGTGTAAATATATGCATTTTATTTTTTATAATATTTTTAATATGCCATATTGAATGGATAATTTAAGTTTTAGATTGGAATATTGGTTTAATAATATTGGTATATATTTGTTTTATGTCAATTGGCAGCTTATATGAATACACATATATTAAGTACAATTATTTGAAACAAGTATATTTATATGGCAACGTTATCAGTTATAAATTCATATGTGTGGTCAATTTATTGAAATACTACAATGTTCGTAATGTAAATTTTAAAATGTAATTTGTAGTATCACATATATAAACTAAATATTTTCTGGGTATAAACCTACAACTAACTTACATTCATTTCTAGACATGTTTTTTAAAATGGTAACGACTATTTTTCCATTTTTTAGTCAAGTCAAATGGCTTAAATTGAAGGCATTTTCGACCAGAAACACTTTGAATAATCCCCTTAAATTTTTATGAGTGGATTATTGAAGGTGTTTTTTACAAAAAAAATACCTTGAATAATCCCTTCCAATTTTTTAGATAAGATTATTGAAGGCATTTTTGACAAAAAACACCTTCAATAATCTCCTTTCATTTATTTTTTTTTTAGATTGTTCAAGGCGTTTTTGTGAGAAAACACCTTGAATAATCCCTTAGAAAAAATTAAATGGGATTAGTCAAAGTGTTTATGACCAAAAACACCTTGAATAATTCCCTTCAATTTTTATGATGGATTATTGAAGGTGTTTTTAACTAGAAAACACCTTAAATAATCCCTTACAAAATATTAAATGAGATTATTGAAGGCGTTTCTGGCTAAAAATAGCTTGAATAATTCATGGATTATTTAAGATATTTTTATTTCAAAAATACTTTCAATAATCCATGAATTATTCATTTAGAGAGGATTATTCAAAGCATTTTCTATCAAAAACACTTCCAATAATCTCAACAATTTTTTTTGGAATATTCAATGCGTTTTTGCTTCCCTTACAAAATATTAAAGGCATTTTTTTTGTCAAATGCCTTGTAATTATTTTTAAAATTCATTTCCTATTTTTAAACTTTAGAATCTCAAACTACTAATACAATAAACGATAAATATTATTTTATAAAAAAACTTTTACAAATAACATAAAAAAATATTTATATGAATATAAATACTACTATATATGTAGATTATTTATAATTTGACTTTCGATCTATAATAATTTTAAAATTTTATAAAATCTTATTAAAACTGAAATATTAATTGAAACCTAATTAAAATAATATTTAAATTTAAAAAAAAATTTAGTCTAATATTTATTTATAAATTTATTAATTAATATAATACTTATAAATTTTATTTAAAACTTATAATCATTTAAAATTAATTAAGTTACAAATTTTATTTATTAAAAATTATTGCTTTTATCAAATTATAGTTTTTGAAAATTTTTATTAGATGAAAATATTATGAATTAATATTTTTTAAAAAAATTAGGAATAAATATTTTTTTAACTTATATTGACGGTTATTATAATCGTCAGTACATAACATATTTATACTGACGAATATTTATATACAGTCAAAAAAAGTTTACCTATATTGACAGATTTACAAAGTGTTAGTATAGGTATTGTCTATACTGATAGTAACAAAAATCTATTAGTATAGATATTTTTTACTTACATAATTTGACCGTCAATATAGATAAGTATCAGTATATAGCATATTTATACTGATGGATAGTTATATACCATCAGAAAAAGTTTATCTATTCCGATACTTGTATGAAGTATTGGTAAAGGTATGGTATATTTTGATGGTATTAAAAATCTGTCAATAAAAATCTTTTTTATTAATATAATTGACCGTCAATATAACTAAATATCAGTATATAAAATTTTTTTTATAGTGAATAAATAAAATATTTAATAATATTATTATTAATGACATCTAATTATAAATATAATATATATTTATTAATTAATGACATTAAAAATTCGAAGTAAATTATTCAATACGTTGGTTTCTAGAGTTCCAGGGGTATGTGGCACTCATGCATTTCCCCTAGAAACCCTAGAGTAAAGAATCAATATATTGGTAGATGTTAGATTTGAACTGCTGAACAACAATTACAGGTAAAGGAAAATTAAGGTTTGATAGTGTTAAATTTATAGGCACGGCCTGACCTTCCCAATTGATTGCAGTATATATTAAATACATTTATTATGTTAGGCTGCTTTTGTTAATTCATCTAGAGGATTGAGCCTTATATTTTTATGTGAAAAATATAAATAGTTTAGGCCTTATATTTTATATTCACTAGTGTGATGACTTTGTTTCGCAGTGGGTTTTTTTCTTGTAGAAAATTATTTATTAAATTATCAAAGATAAAAAATAAAATAATTTGAATATTAAAAAAATAACAATCAATTCAATTGAAATAGTTGCCTAACTCATATTAATAATCTTGTCAAAATAACAGTAATAACATAAATAAAATATACACCAAAGATCATATAAAAGTATTCATTTTGCCTTAATATATATTTATTTCAAGATGAAATAAGCAAGTTATATCTATTTAGGTTCTATCAAAATTTGATAAAAAAAAGTTACACTATTACGAACAGCTTTCATTATACCTGTAAAATATTAAAGTAAAAAATTTAAATAATCAATTACAAAAGAAAAATCAATATGAACAACAAAAAAACACAATCAATTTAATACCCATAGTATTCTTTTAATATAAGAGGCATATAAAATTATCCATCCCTAAGCCTTGTTAACCAAAACTCAAAATAAAATCATCCTGATAAAACAAAAACAATAACCCAAACATATCAAAACCCAAAGTCCATTTTGTTCATCACAAAAACAGCTGTACAAACATGGCCACCACTGATCCAAAACTCAACAAATCTAAAAAATTATACACATCATCACCCTTAACCTTTAGGGATACTTTTAAAAGAAGCTAGTATAGATTTTGGTCTCATTTTACATGTGTGTAAACCCCAGAATTAGAACTAAAAACATATAAACTTGTTGCTTTCAAATGTTATTCAGATGTGTTTTACAAATTTTTTAAGATTATCGTGTTAATTCTTATGATACATCAAACACTACAATATAATATTACAGGAAATGTTGTCTCCGAACCAAACGTGGTCATTTTATATATCCTTTGAATATTCGGATATGTGTTATTTCCCAAACAGATAATAATATCTAAAACCCGAGAACCAAACGGCTCCTTATATGGAAAGGAAAATAAGCTTTTGATAGTGTTAAATTATAAGTATGGCCTGATCTTCCCAATTGTTTGTACTAAATTAGTTACATTTTGGATCTTCTCAACCACCAAATCAACTAAATTACACCTCTATAGCTGGCAAATTATAGGTGTGTGTGTGTGTGTGTGTGTATATATATATATGTATGTATGTATGTATGTATGTATGGAATCTCCAGGTTGGCAGACAGAAAATAGTTGTTCTTGTCACTCAATCTCGCTCAATTTAAATCGTTAAGATTTCATGTTAATTGCTTCTGAAAATTAGTGCCAGCACAAAATGTCACACCTGGTACTACTCAATGAGAAGAGACACATGTATGTTTTGATGGTTGGAGGAACTTATTCTGCTTTGCAGCTGCCATTTCTATTCTGTCCCATTTCTGTTTCCTCTTCATTTCCTCTTGGCGAGCTTCGGATTCTCGGTGTTCGATTTCTTGGAAGCACCTGTCGTATAGAGTTGGATCCATTTCTTCCAACATGGCCTTCACATTTTCTGTTAATTGCTTTACACTCTTGCTCCAGTGCTGCTTTAGGTTCTTCTCCATGCCTTCAACTACCACAGGAAACACATCTTCCATTGCTGCTGATGCCATCTTCACGAACTGCTCGTTGTTCCATACATACAATGCTCTCTCTGCAACCTGATTTCAAAGTAATATAAACTAAATCAATGAAAGGCAACCCTTTCCCTATCTTCAGGCTACGGCTTCTTTTGTACAAAAAAAAAAAAAAAATGAACTAAAGTAAGCCCGTAACTTGAAACGCGAGATTTCCTCTAAGCTTTTTATCCTGGATTGGCTTACCTTCCAAATCCACGTCGTTCTATCTGGAAAACCCAGTTTCAGTTTTATCCAACTCAAGTATTATCACAACAAAAACAGTTGGCTTCTGAATATGTGACAAACTGTCATGTGCTATGTGTCACTGTCAGGGACCCTTTTACTACCATTAATATCATCATTAACAGTTCCACCATAAAACAAAGGCAGACTTGATTCTATAATTTTGCCTTTATTTTTTTGCAATAGCTCAGAATTGCAAAATTTAGTTGCATTGGTATATGCTCAGTTGCATGTTATCATTGATTTTGGATATGTTACTACTTTCTTAATTAGAAATCAATCGAAAGCATGGGTAGGGAAGTTGAGAAATTTCCATCAATTTCAATATATATATATATATATCTGAATATGGAGGAGAACTTGATTCGAAGGAACTATCAAGAATCAAGAAAATCAATGTGAGCCAGAAACCTCATCAGTAAGTTTACCTGTGAGTTGCAACTGTTCAAACACCTTGCTATTTGGGTGCACAAAGGCAGAGCTAACGTCCTGTACTGATCAGGATCTATATTCTCCACCAGCTCCTCCAATTCCCCTATAAGTAGAACTTCTTTTTGACAATTGGTAACTGGCCAGTATCTTAGAATCCCTCTAACCACCACTCCCCCAAGTGCCGGCTCTTTCTGCACAAACTGAGAAACGCAATAAGCTAGCTGCTTATGGTAAACCTGCAAACCCTTGGCCTTGTGCAATGGAAGAAGCACTCTCATCAAGAAGAGCTTGTGCTCCTCCTTTAATGGAACCGCAAAGCCATTGATGATGCTTCCGCATATCTCAAGCAGCTCACCAATTCCACAATGCTTTTCATTCTCGAAAACATGGTACAAAAAGACATCGTTAACTGCTTTTCTCATGAATGATCTATGGAAGGTGAATCTCGAATACATCCGATGGAAAATATTCTTTAAGCTCTCTCTTTCTCTGGGGTCTTCAGACTGAAAGAGGAAGAGAAGGTTGAGAATGAAATGGTTATCAATGTAATTTCGAAGTGTCTTGGGATCTATATTGAGAACAAGCCTAAGGAGAATATCATAAACAATTTGCAAGTGTGGCCATGCTGTTGCAAAAGTGGAAAGAGTTTCTTCATCATCAGGCAAGTCAGAGAAAGTGGAAGTATTGGAAGGTGGAGGGAGTGGCCTGAACAGATTGGCAGACACCATGGACAAAATAGGTGACAGAAGTTGTTCATGCAATGGCTTCTTGGAAGATTTGATCAAAGTGAGAACTTGGAAAAGCTTGAGCCGCTTAAGATCTTGTTGTGAAGGGGACTCCAGAGGATCAGTGAAAGTGAAAAGGAAGTTGCAATAAGAGATAGCAGACAGGATTTCTTCATATTCGGAGTCAAATCGAGATTGCCTACCAATGCTCGGAGTAGAAAGGTCACTTTCAATGTGAGGCTTGGAATCTAGATCAAAGAGGTGCTTAAGGGTAGTTTTCTTCTTTGGTGATGCTTTTGGAGAATTCTTGGGGGAATCCCTTCGAATGCCCATGTTCTCCTTTCCTTCTTCTCTGCTTCCCTGGCTTTTCTTCAATTGCAAATCGTTGTTCACGACTATTAATTTGATTGAAAATGTCTCCCACGCTGAAAGGGAGAAAGAATGTTCTGATGTTTTCGATTATATCTTTGATCTTTCTTGACCGTAGGATAGTAAGCCAAAAGGCAGCGATGTTTTATAGACAAGCAATGTTGTAATATCCGATAACAAACTATTGAATTCTCGCCCTAAGTTCACTTAACAACGACAGGTAAAATGATATATAATGTCCATTAAGGAATCATCTTTTTCTTCATGCTCCTCCTCTGGTGAGAGCCATGTGAATTTATGTGACCATAGTAATTTGGAGGCATTAACAGCTTGTTCTAAGGGATCATCAAGAAGATAACAACATCCAAATTAAATCTACCCAATGCAAGACATGTGCCTCACCAACCCACTGCCCAAAGCATTTCGCAGTTAGGGGCCATCTATCACAAGGGGATTTTTACAAGATCGAACAGGGAGGATCTTTGACAAGATCAAAGCCCTTTGTCCTATCTGTTTATTGCCAATTAACACAGTTAGCTAGCTACCCTAAACCTTTTATTTTCTTTTCTTTTTTTTGGGCTTAGCCCCATGTGAACCTAGTTGGCATGATATGACAAATCCACAAACCTCTTAGCTTTGAGTAACAACACCAGGAAAACAAACATTATGAAGAATTTTTATTTACTCAGACTTTGTTTCTTCCAATTTTAATTTTTGGTATTGATTTCTCTTTCTTTCATATACCAAGTTAAAATCAAATGAAAGCATTTGTATCGTAACCAAGCATTTGTATACTACTTGAGCATACAGTTTTTTGACATTAATACTAAAATGGCCATTTTGGCTATGGATACATTTTGATACCAAAACGGCTATTTGAGCTAGTCTTGGCACTTCTTTTACATAAAAAATGCCGGTTAGGGCTCCTTCTTTTGTTTTGATTTAATAAGAAAAGAAAAAAAATAAGGAAAGATAAAACTCCCAGATCCATTGCTGTTAATGAAATCCAGCAGTTACGGTCTTGGCAGCAGAGACATCAGGGGGTGGAGATGGGAGCATGGTTAGAGCAAATATTCCACTTGCAGCTGCTGCAAATGCTCCAAGTGCAAAAGCTGGAAGGTTTCCACCTCCAAATATTGCATCAAATGGTCCACTCCCCAAAGACACCAATATCTGTAAACTCATTACACACCAAACTCAATACCAAAGTTGCAACTAGCTGGCTCTCTAATCTATAATCATTAACTATCAAAAACATTGGGGTATAATTTACAGCGGAATACACACTGATGAAAATTCGAGGAATATTGTAAGTTAAACTAGGATTAAATAAGAATGCAATATTACCTGTGGTATTACAATTGCAAGATTCAGCACTCCTAAGGAAAGTCCTGTTTCAGAGTAAATGAAAATCAATTTTAGCTTGAAAGGATGATTGGGTAATACCAGAAAGTCATTTTCAATGTGCCTGGAAAAATTTTTTGCAAAATTTACCTTGGCCAGCACCGGAGGCACTAGAAAAAATGGATGCCAATGCAAAAGGAATACTGTAAGTTACCTGGAAAAGTAAAACAGGAAATTATCCTTTAGCTTGTGAAAGACTCATGGATCAAAACAAAATGTCCCTTATTGAAACCCATTAATCAAAATGCAATTGAAATGAACTTACAAATTTTACTTAAAAATATTTCCATTGTCCTTATGCTAAAAGGTGATTCATTTTCTTAGAGCTACCAGCCGCCACCAGTCAATTACTTCCAAAAAGGGAGAAAAAGAATTAATGTGTGAAATAAAGATTAAACAGAAATTGACAATGAAATTGAAATCCCATTTATCATGATGCCATAAATGGCCATTGAAAGAATCAAAAACAGTATGCATGCACTCCCAAACATAGTTATAACACATGGAGAGGTATTTATAATTCAGTGAGGAACAAACAAAAGTTTGATGAGCAATGGTAGGGGCAGATGCTTTGTACAATCACCTTTGGCTACCCACTTATTTAGAGAGCCACATCACCCCTTTCCAAACTTAAAATTGTTGACTGCTAATAAAAAGTTTCTCTCACTTCTTCAAGCTCCATACTACCTTGATCTATAAAAGTGATAAAAAAAAAAAAAAGGAACTTCAAGATGTAAAAACAAAGAATTCAAAGGAATGGAAAAGGAAATCCTCTACGTTTGATGCTGATTTAGATTTTTCTTTTCTTCAAATGAGCCCCTTTTTGGGAGGTTTAAGGTGAATACTACGTTTTGTTACTAAGCTCAGGCCTTGAGTTATTACCAAGGTCCAAGAAACAATTGTTTCACTGTCTTCAAATGGATAGTCTTCCATAGATGCCTCGTTTGGATAGCCAATGAGAAGAGATTTTCACTATGTGATCACGTTCTTTTGGACTGGTTAAGGTTTAGTTTCAAAACGATTGATGACACGATAAAAATCTCTTTGCTGGTAATCCAAAGGAAGCCAGAGTAGGTGTGGATTATCAAGATAGGAAATGAAATGATGTCAAGCATGACATAGAAATACAATACAAGCTCCTTAACTTTTATCTGACCAATCAAGAACATAATCACTAATGTTCTATAAAACTAAATTTAATGCAATTTCGTTTAAGATTGATTTTGAATCCTAATTTCAATTCCAATAACAAAATTGTGACTCAAAATTTATTCAAGAAAAACAAAAATGGGTTAATCTAAAAAGAGGTAAGTCAAGAATGAACTTACAGCTAAGGGTATCCCCAATGCTGCGAATAGAGACAATGCACCGGCCTTGACAGCTGCTGGCGGCGGTAAAGGGACTATGACACCGTCCACGGTGACGAAACGGCGGCTTGACTTAGCCAATTTGGTCACCAAAACTGTCATTGCCAAACAAAAAGCAAGCAAAAAATTCACAATCCCCCAAAGCCTCTTGACCCCTCCAACTCCACGCGCCAACAGCTCCACACCAAGCGAAGTGAAACCCACCACCACAGAGTTCAACATGAGTCCCAATGCACCAGCACGTACTCCATTATTATACAGCTTCAAGACGAGTTTATTTCCCTGTGAATCCCCACCGTACACTTCTCGTCCCATCCAATCAGTGTCGAACAACAGGAAAGGGAACCACGCAATCCAGTTAAGACACGTCACCAGGAGGAGAATCCACATGGGTCTTTTCAAGTCCTTGAGAGCAGCGTATATTTCTCCCAAGGGAACCGGCGTTATCTCTGCTGGTTCTTCTTCATCCTCAATCTCACGGCCACCTTGGTTACCGGCGTTTCCAGGTTCCGGTGACCAGGGTTTTTCATGCACGTAGGAGAGAGCAATGGAGGTAAGGGTTAGCAAAAGCAAAATGGAGAAAAAGAAACAGCTTTTGAGATTTGCACAGTAAACGTCACAAGCTTTCGTGGCTGTAAACGGAAAGATGTTGTGAAGGTGTGTGTAGGAACCGGCGGCGAAGCCAAGGACGTTTCCAACCGCCATGAAGAATGAAAAGAAGGCGTTTGCGGTTCGCGTTTTCTTCTGGTTGTTCCCCGAAAGATCAGCCAGTAAAGCTCTGCATGGACCTTGTAACATGTTGTTAGCCACGTCCAGGATCCAAAACCCTATCACAAACACGACAATGGCACGTGGCTTCATGTCATTGGCCATGGAGTCCCCAAAGAGATAACCTAAGTCAGCTGCGAAGCCTATGAGGACCACCGCGGTGGCGACCAGGGCAGCTCCTGCAGCTATGAAAGGGCGGCGACGGCCAAAACGAGAGGTGCAACGGTCGCTATGGTAACCAACGATGGGTTGCACCAGCAGTCCAGAGATGGGTCCACAGAGCCAAATGAGAGAGGCCCATTTGTGAGGGATGCCAAGGAGTTGAACATATGGGGTGAGTAGGGATAGCTGCAAGGCCCAGCCGAATTGGATCCCGGAGGCGATGGCTGCCACCAGGACGATCTTTTTGACAGGGGAAGGACGTGGAGGAGACGACGGCGGTGGTTGTTGGAGCTGAAAGGAAGATTTGTTGTTGGGTTTGGTACTACTACTACTACTCTCCATAGCTCTACCAAAAAGGTATTCTTATTTTGTATGGAAACTTGAGTTGAGTGATTCTAAAGTGAAATGAAAGGGAAATTTATATGAGTTGAAGACAGAGAGAGGGGCCGGGAAAAGGGTAAAACCTTATCCATTTTGGAATCGTGCCTTTGGTCTTGACTTCGGTCATTGGAGTCGGAGATTCGAGTTGTGCAATAAACACTGTGGGGTACAGTGTTATATTTCCACGTGTAAAACTGCCTTAAATTCTCTTTTCCATCTTTGGGAGAGGAAATTGAATTCCTCCGTCTTTTAACTCTTGGGTTCTTTATTATGCCACACATGCTTCTGATACTACAAGAAGCAATACTTACCTGGATTCTTAGCTTTTTCTTTTCCTTTTTTGAACTGTAAAAGAGACTATTACTATAATACAAAAATCAATTCACAAAATTTACTCAACTTATAGAAATGAAAATTATTTATGCATGCATGCATTTGTGATTGAGATTGCAGGATGAGGGAGAGGGATAGCCAATTATAAATGAATGTGAATGGTGAGGAGATAAGACAGCTTGATGAAAGCGTCTAACATTATCCACAATGGAGCTGTCTCGCGCGCACCCCGAAGCCTGAGAAACAGCAATAAAAGTGCCGGTGAAGAGTCGAGGATTCAGACTCAGAGAGAGATTTTGATTGACTCTTCGAAGAGATGGGTGGCACAGCCCATAGATTTAAAAAACGCGCGCGATTTGGTATATAGCGATCATTATTTAATGAATACATAGTCCTTGTTACTCGTTTCAACAGATAAATAATAATATATTATATTTGTAAACAATAATGTAATAAAAATTATGATATATTAAAATGTTAAAATTGTTATCTGTATTTTTTGAATATATATATGTAAATTATTCTTTTACTTTCTTTAAAAATAAATTTTAAAAATTTTAAAAAAAATTTATAACCGTAATAAATAGAATTATCATTATTTTATTTATTATATATGTAACCATAACAAATACGATATTGAATGAAAATGCGACCACAATTACACTTTAAATCCCTGGCACAACGTAAGTGATAACAGAAGAAGACCTTCCCAACTTGCTGCTTATAGGATCATCACACTTCACCCATCACCCACTTTGGAAAACGTACTTCTACTGTCTTTCTTTTTTTTTTTTTGGTCCCAGATTGAATCAAATGCTTGCTGCCACCCTTTTGTTTTTCATTTTCAAAGAAAATTTAGTTCTAAATTTATCCATAGTCAGACGTCATCGTAGAACTTTCTAGCGGGTACTGATAAATTTAACAGTCAACGCCGTGCAGATTTTGATGTTCATTAAAATTATTTTATATAATATATATTTGATGGGTTTATACTTTGGTCCATTTAAAAGTGTAGTAAAATTAATTTTAATGAAATTAAAAATAATGATAAAAATAAAATTAATTATTATAATGATAAAATTGAAATTAATAGTGAAATATATATTTGAATATAAAAATTGTGGTAACAATAAAGTAAATTATATTAAAAAAAGATTATTAAGTACATTATATTAAAGTTATATAATAAAAAATTTAATTTATTTAATATTTATAAAATTTATTATATAAAATTTGTTAATAAATAATAAATTTTATTTAAATTATTTACTAATGTATTAACTAATAAATTTTATTTTTATTATGTTAAATTAACAAATTCATTTGACATTTTTTAAATAAAAAATAAAAAATTTGTAAAGATATTTTTGATATAATAGCAAATTAAAAAAAAAAAAAAAAAAAAAGAAACCCTCCCTGCCGATCAGTTTTCAATTGCATCCAAGCTACAAAAGTTGAAACGAACAAATTTTTTCAGCATCACATTGGTGTTGCAGTGCAATCCAAACGGAGCATTAACATCCTATCGACAAGTATAGTGCGGTTTGATTTTATTTCAAAAAAATCACATCAAATTAAAATTTTTGTTTGGCCAAGAAAAATTAAAATTTTTGGTTTTTAAATATTTGGCATTAAATCAATTTAAATTATAATTAATAAAAATTTTAGCAAAAAAATTAATGAATAGAACATAAAATATTGATGTCTATGGGAGAGAGATGCTTTGACAATTAGCTCCTAATAGAAGAAAAACAATTACTGTGGATTTTGGAAAGCATATCCTACATAAAACCTCCTAACAGTTCTTTATCCAAAGTATATGTTCCTAAAATTTACTTGAGTTCACATAACATCAATCGACTTTACCAGTTAAGATTTCTTTCAAATTAATCAGGATAATAAAATTAACCTAACCCCTCAATTTTAACCATTTATAAACTCTACTGTTAAATGCTACGCAGCCTTTTTTTTCACACTTCAATTTTTTTTTATTTTTTTAAGTAAAATTAATTAATTATTTTTTTTACACAAGTTTCAAAAATTAGATTTTCTAAATGTCATATAATTTTTATAATTTTTCATAAATCTATTTCTTGAAAATTATATGATTTTTTGAAAATTCATTTCCGAAAAGTTATAAAACTCCAAAAAATTATGAGAAAAATAATTAAATAATTTTACTTATAAAAATTAAAAAAAAAAAATTAAAGTGTGAAGAGAAAAAATGAAGGTGCATTTAACAGCACTCCAATGTTAATCCTTCAAACGTGGAAGGCCTTTTGCTTTTGAGTTAATTTTATGATAACTTATATATATATATATATATATATATATCATCCAATTATTTATCTATCTATATATTTATATATAAAAATGTAAACTCAAAAATTGTTAATAGTGATTGACCTAAATAACCCTATATAAAGTTTTAAATTAACAAATTTATCCTTAAATATGTATAACTTTTATTAATTTCTTTAAATTTAATTTAAATCAACTAAAATTACAAATAGAGTTTATGTAAAATTAAACTATTTAAAATTTTAAGATTTTAATTTTAAAAATATTAAAAATGATTACCTAAAATATCCTTGGTAAATGTTTTCATAAATTTAATTTAAATGAATTTTTTTTATTATTAGAGTTTTATTTTATAATTAGATAAAAGAAGTGTTAAAAGTGATTGATTAAGATACTCTTAATAAAAATTTTAATTTAAAAAATATTAAAAGTGATTGATTAAAATACCATTAATAATTTTTGTAAATTTTCATTTAAATAACTTTTTTATCATTAGACACTTTTTTATAAGTAGAATGATTTTTCATATAAATGATTTAGGTGTTTGAATAATCTAATGTGAATTATTCCCAGTAAAGAAATATCAAGTGAAGTAAAATTAATTATTTTTGGTGAATTCTTTCAAAGTCTGACAAAATTTATTGAAATTATTTTTTAAATGTGTTTATTCCAAAGTTACATTACATTCATTTATGAAAATTTCTATTGTTAATGTTGAAAATGAAATCATTATAAATTGTATAGGTTTATATAACAAGTTTGATATTCTTAGAATTGAAATTTTTTAAGAAAACATGACAAGTATCAAGGTTAAAATTTTATTTTATTTTATTTTAAAATTATGTAGTTTAATATTTTATAATAAAAATTTATGTATAATAAAATTTTTAAAATAAAAGAAAAATTAACCTTTGAATTGATATAATATACAATTACATTAAATTAATGAAAGCATAAATGAAAATTTATTCTAAGCAAAAAAATGAAATGAAAAATTGATTAATTATACATAACTATATCATCGCCATATGACAAAAAATGTTAGTGATGTATGGTGTTTAAATGAAAAATATATAAATATATTGATTTTAAATTTTTTAAGGATTAATAAAAAAACTCTTTTATTTGAAGAAATATTGTATATTCATTTATTTTCTCTTTTATATCAGTTAAATAATGTTCACCGATGTATACAAATATTTTAAGTTGTCATATTAGGTAATATTTTTTTCAAAAAATTGAAATTCATCAAATTAATTATCACTTTACATCTAAAACAAAAAATTTATTATAAATTATAATTTAACTAAACTTAAAAGTGATTTAAAGGCATTTATTACCAAATTTCATTTGATAAATCTTTATTTAATTGTGTATTTAGTATTTCAATCATTTCTTAATTTTGACTTTTTATAATTTTGAGTTGAATTTTAGATTTAGAATCAGCAACCGATTAGGTTGAGTCAAAGTTTTATCATCTATTTCTATTCATAGTATACTTAATTATTCACTTATACACTTAAGAATTTTGACTTAATAATTGGTGCACACTTTTTTTTATTTAAAATGTTGATTAAAATCATCCTAAATTTAAATAAAAAATAAGTATACTGAATTAATTATAATTTCAATTTCACTTTAGAAATACTTTTAAAATTAATTAACTAATTTAACCATAAAGACAATAAAAATAAAACATTGACGATGAAGGGAAAAAAACTTAAATAAAAAACTTTTAAATTGTTATGGAAGATGAATTAATGGATTTTAATTAGGTTACTATTTTAATTCAGATTTTGGTTATGTTTAATCATTTCGGGTTTTAAATAACTACTAAATTGTTGACGTTTTAAAATCAATTGAAATCGAGTCAAGTTAATTCATTTTCATAATTATGTATATTATATTATTTTTAATTAAATTAAAATTTAAAATGAGTAAAAAATTTATTTATACTCAATTTGAGTTTTGAATTATTTCAAGATTAAGTTGATTAATCCATGTTATTTTAATTATACTTTTGGGATACCAGTAATAAATTTCAAAATAAAATAAGATTATAATACAATGAAAATTTAAGTGCAAAAGTAATAAAGATATTGATGATAATTTTAGAAGAAAATCCTTTTGCCCAAGTTTTGCAAAGATTAGATATTTCTTTTTTTTTTCTAGGATTTTAAAATTTGTATTATAGAAATATTAATCTAAATCAAAGAGTTTATAATCGTTTATTTGTTAATCAAGTTACTGCTTTATAGGTTGAAGGAAATAATTCAAATATTTTATTTGAAATAGATCATATCATAATTCAAACTCATTCATGAAGATAATATAGAATTAAACATTATTTTTGTTGTTATGACTCTTTACAATACACTTTACTCTTTTTAAATGGAGAAGTTGATTAGCATGAAAATATCAAAAAAGCCATTTTGAATGATGGTAATAAGAATGAACCAACAATTAAAAATATACCATCTTTTTGTTTAGTAGAATAAATATTTTTATGGAGAATGCAAAATATCCTTTACTCTTTCTAAATGGAGAAGTTAATTGACATCAAAATATCAAAAAAGTTATTTTGAAGGATGGTAATAAGAATGAAATAACAATTAAAAATATATCATGTTTTTTGTTAGTAGAAAAAAAAATTTTAAGTAGAATGTGAAGGTAATTATTATGAATTTAATATTTTTTTAAAATTATTGTTTGTTTAATTTTTATAAATTTTATTTAGTAAATATGTTCTTATTACTTTTATCATATATATAACAAAATTTCTACCCAAAATTGTATATTTAAAAATAAAAACATAAGGTAAAGTTTATTACTTTCATTGACTACAGAATATTTCAAATTTTTTAATCTTTTATATGTAATTGTAATTCATTGACAGATATGAGAATATATACATTAATAATTCAATCAAATCATCAATAATGCTTATCTTAATATGTATTATTTTATCATAAACTAAAAAATTTGAATAAAATCTTAGAAATATTGATTTAATATATATTGTATATATTTATTTAATTTAGAGTAATATTTGCATTAGTATAAAAAGTTATGATTTTAATTTATTATTGCATGCTAAGTTATGGATAGTAAATTAAGAGCATTTACTCATTTTTTTAAAATCATTTAAACTTAAACTTTTTCTTTTTTCTTTCTCTACCTTACAAATTACATCATCTAGCATACATTATGATTACTTTTTTTTTTTGATATACACAAATTAATGATAATATAGTAGTAGATAATTAATAACTTAGTAATTAATTAGTGAAAACTTAAATGTAATCAATATAATATAGTATAAATTATCAATAACTTAATTGACAATCATTAATAATTTTTTTTATATTTGAAGTTGCCAATGATTGAACTCTCCTTTATTAATAGAAAAGAAGTTAAAACTTTTATGAACCTATTCAATAAAAAGAATTAGTGAAAATTTTCTAAATTTGAATAAAACAATAATGTTATTATATAAAATGAAAATTATCTCATATATTATTAGTAGACTTTTTAAATTTCATGCTTCATAGTTTTAAATGCATAACAACGTGTTAGTAAATTAATGATAGATTAATAAAAAAAAGTGATAATTTAGTTTTAAACCATTGATAATTTAATAATAAATCAATAATAACTTAATAATCAATTAGTAATAACTTAATAGTAAATCAATTTTAGTTTAGTAGTAATTAATTAATAAACTTAGTAGTAAATTATAAACAATTTGTAGTGAATCAATGATAATTTAGTAGTTAATTATTGAAACATAAAAGTAAATTAATATAATTTAGTAGCAATTAATCATCAATAATTTAATAGTTAAATAACTTAATAGTAAATTATAGATAATTTAATATAAATTAGTGATAACTTAATAATGAATATTATTTAAGTTAATAATAGATTTGTGATAATTTTGTAGTAAATAATCGAAAATTAAGTAATAAATCAATGTAGCATAATAATAAATGCATAATAAGATAATAGTAAATCATTTATATTTTATATGTAAATTATTGATTACTTAATAGTAAATTAATGATAATTTAGTAGAAAATTAATTAATCATTGATAGCTTTATAGTAAATCATTGATAAATTAATAGTAAATTAGTTATAACTTTATAATAAATCATTAATAACTTAATAGCAAATCATTAACAATTTAATAGTAAATTATTTATAAGTTAGTAATAAATTATTCATAAATTAACAATAAATTAATGCTAATTTAAAGATTTGATAGCTTAATAGTAAATAGTTGATAACATAATAATAAATCAATAATAACTCAATTGTCAATCATTAATAAATTTTTTTAGACTTAAAATTATTACAAATTGAACCTTGGTTACTAACAGGAACAAAGTTAAAAATTTTATCTGGGGAGACTTGGATGAACTTACTACTAATCTATTTAATAAGAAAATTTAATGAAAAAGGTTTTCAATTTGAATAAACCAATACGGTTATTATATAAAAAAAATCACCTTATATTAAAATTGAATTTGTGCTTTCTTATAGGAATCCATTGTTAAATATACGATGATTCAAATTTTATCAACGATTACTAAAAGTATATCATAAATTATCATAAGGTTAATTATTAAAATTACATCAAGAGATTATAAAAATTTTATCAATGATTACCAAAATTGAATCAAAAGTTCCTAAAATTTTATCAAAAGTTATTAAAATCAAAATGATATCAAAATTATCAAAATTAACTTATCTTATATCAAAATCAAAATCAAATAATTATTATATTTATCATTATTATCATAATATCAAAAAGATTATTTATTAAATGAATTTTTGAAGATAAAAATGCGCGTGTCAAAAACTAATATATATATATATATATATATTTATATATATGTATGATTGTACGTATAAGAATATGTTTTTTTTTAAAAAAAATTTTCACTGGCTCTTCTATTCTTAAATATTTAAGCTCAACTCAGTTAATCCAATTTTGATTATAAGTTTATTTTCGATGCAGAACTCTATAGAATTATAATTTGTTATTAATTAATGTGAGAAAGAATAAAGAAATTAAGAATTCTTGTAAAGATCAACTTGTAAAGAAATTTGACAAAAGAATTCAAACTTAGAATGAAAATTGTGAATATTATATTTTAATAAAATAATATTTACATATCTATATTATTACAGAAGATTGTTTAAACAATATTAAATGATATCGAAATCTCAACTAGGTTTTTGATCCAAGATTAAAATACTTAAATAAACTTATCAAGGTACTTATATTCAAATTCAACTTGACAATGAATGCCAAATTCAAATAATTTCACTTATCTACTCAATCTTGTTTGCTTAACGAGCTATCTCCACCAAGCTTGTGTGGATCCATTAAGAAGACTCTTATCCTATAAATATGATTATAATTTTGATCCGATTGAATTTAATTAAACTTTTTTAAAATGATATATAAAATTATAAATTTTTAAAATTTCACCTTTTATGATTATACCGACGACTCCCGCCACGCTCCCAAATGAAGCCCAAGTAAACAGAAATGTAGGGAATAGAAAAACAAAAAAGGAGCTGAAACTTTTACTTGTTGTGAAATGTTAACATTCTATACATATAAAACTAAAGAGAAACCTATAGCCTTGAAAGCAGTTTAACACTAAAGCAGTTGCATTCCCCCTAAATAATACACTTAATCACCCTCTAGGCTTTTCACATACAAAAAAATAACAGCTTGTATCACTCAGCATCTGCTTAGCAACTCACTGGAAATATCGCCAATCGCAAACTGATTCCGCACCCTACATGGAAAAATGCGGCAGATGGGACTCTTTACACAAGCAAAAGGTCTCTTTGCCTAGGAATCTCTTTTTACAAACTTCGAAGCGTGTCCACTCGATCAATGACATCCAATGCCTTGATCCGGTCGATATCAAAGTTAATGAAAGGAACTGAAGACAGCCTCCGAATAGGGAAGGGATCTTTCTTATTTTCAGTTGTGGGAGAGTGGCTATTGCTTTTACTCAACCTATGGTGCTTGCTTAACCTAGTTTTTGCAGTGTCAAATTCCTGGCTCTTACTTATTCCAGGTGTTTTTTTCCTCTTACTCACATCCCGAAGCATCTCTTGATCTTCGATGGTCAACACTGGTGATGAGGGCTTCTGCGTTGATAGTTGAATTGTCTTCTGGTTAGGGGATCTGATTGGAGACTTAACAGGAGATCTGATTCCACCATTACAAGCCCTCGCTTGGGCAACAAGATGGTGAAGCCACAGTACCAGATCGAAAATAAAAACTTCAGTTTTCTCCTTGTCTGCATGGTGTAGTGTTTCAATCCTGAGCAAGTCAGTCTGGCCAGCAGGTTTACGGTTCACCTCAGACCTGAAATTTTGATCACAAAAGCTGAGTAATAAAAACCATTAACATAAAGGGAATTAAAAGTACCTATATTCAGAACTTACCCGGTGTTTGCCCATTCTCCAACCCAGCCAAATCCATGATGAGCTCTAGTTGGAACATATTAATACCGATAGAAACAAGGATGAGTAATTGAAAAATAAACTTCAGGGATATAATCCAGATCATGCCTTACGAATAGAGACAACAAAAAGTCAATCACAAAATAAGGTACTGTAAGAGATAGCCAATTACTTGGTTGTGTTATTGGCAAAGGGAACAAGCCACTGCAATGTTTTCTCCATTTCAGCTTTGATCTGTGAGACAGTTAGCTGCAAAGAAAATTTGGGAATGTGTCAGTGCATAATACGAGCAAATATGTCCGACAATAGGCTTCAGGCTAACAGCATCGTTGAAATCCCAACAGAAGCATAATAGATGAGCAAAGTAGGATTATCAAAAACTGCACCTCTTCCTTTATCTGAAAGGACTGCAGTCTGGACCGCAGAGCAGACTTTATAGTGGGTGGCAGCCCCTGGTATAATGAATCCCTTGTATTAGGGGGAAAAGAACTTGATCGAGACACCTGAGTACATTGAGATAGGAACTTATCAAATTTCCCCTGCTGTTACTACATAGAAGTACAAATATGCCTCAAAATCTTGAACATTCTTATGCTTTGAGAGGAAGAGATAGAAAACGAAATTGCCCAAAACTCCAGTATCTAATCCTTGGAGTTATCAGGTTAATATTCATATTACCATTTATATGGCTATTTCTGCATTATCTAGGAAGAGAAGAAGAATCATAAAGATTCCCAATGTACTGCATTTTATCATAAACACTCCTAGCAGACCTACGACTATTGGAATGCTCATGAGCATGAAGCAAATATTTTCTTGAATGTTCAAAACAGGTTCTTTACAGAGTACCACAAGAAAATCCACATGAAACTGATTTAGAAGAGACAAGCAAAAGGAGCTACAGAGAGTAGAGACCCAGAACAAGCTACACATCATCCCCTGCAGAATATAATCCATAGAGGTATCGTGATCTTAACAAGGCATTCTAACAAAAGGAAACCATTAATCATTCCCTAGCCACATTCCTCGTTATTATTAACATAATGCAATAGAGAGAAAACAACTTTACAAAACAGAAATAGCATAACTGAGCGTTGATTGTATAATCCATAGGATGTTAAATATTGTACTGCACATAGATTGTGCCACACAAAATATCAGTTGGTAAATATTCATCATATGCCTTAAGTATCATCTGACTCGGGAATAAAAAATACATAAATATATAAGAAAAAGAAAAGGGAACCTCCACATACAAATAGGCTAGTGAGGTTTAAATCACAACCAACTCTCCGTTTATATCATAATCAACACAGATACAAATTATCCAACTTTATGTATCAAGTTATTCCTGCTAGACATGCAGAATATTTTAGGGGACCATGAAACATAAGGTACTACATGACAAATGTAGGTCTGTTCACTTGAAAGCTAGAGTGCTGCCAAATGAGTAGGCCCATTCAAGGATAATTTAAGTCGAAAGATGTCCAAATACAATCAGACCTCAATATGGTAAAACCAGTTTAATTAGAAAATCTTATGGTGGCAACAGCAGCACTTTCCACAATATAGACTTCAAAATTCCAGATTAAATGCTTCTTTCAATAGGTTTAAAATCATCAAAATACACAGCAGATACATGGTCATTTTAGGAGAAAACTACAGAAAACACATACTCTTTTGTTTTGAGAACAGTACATTCTTGTATCTTTACAATTGAAATATTATACAAGAGGAAACAAAAAGATTTAGTTGTTATATATACAAAAGTAATGAATAGAAGCAGTGAATTATCTCTTATTTTTATTGCAATAGTGCTCCAAAATGTAGTACATGATTTTATCAAATTGGTTATATGCACAACCTGAATATAAGGCCCACAACAAATTCCAAGAAAAATGTAGGATAACACTACTAAAATAGCTAGAACACTTATAAAGCTTTTATCAAGTTTGGTGAATGAATTAGTCAGGTTTCTCCAAAGCATTTCTTTTCTAGATGTTATTTATTCTCTGAATCATAATAGTATTAATTTTCTTCTCTTTTTTTTCCTCTTTAGAACTTTCTAAACATTACTACAAAGTAACCACTGTCCTTAACCTCTAAGAGATATGTCTACTCAAAAGGACTGCCAAGAGTTCAGTGCTACCATTCGTTTAAGTCTTCCAGAAATATACCACAAAAAAAATAAGAGAAATAGAAAAGAGGTAAAGAAAATCCATTGGCAGAAAATCATAAACTTACAAGAGTATCAATTTGAGTAATGATATTTGCATAATGCAATGCAAGACCAGCAGGCCCCAGCTTTGTATGACCGCTGACAGAAACTTTAACAGGTTTATCACCATCTGCAAGGTCACAGGCAAAAGCCAACAGCATTCGTTAAATAGAACAAATGGCTAATACTGTGTTTCTAAGTAGATTATAGGTTTAAGCATGTCAAAACATATGCATGAGCCATAAACTTATGTATCTCATCTTAATAGATAGATATAATTAACAAAAGAAGATAGCCTTCCTCATAAAACCAAAATGAAAATAACCTAAGAGAAGGATCTAGATTTCAATGGAATTAAGCTTGAGCATTTTATCCAATCTCAATCTAAGAGGAAATTCAGAATTTCCAATTAAGCAAGAGAAATTATACTTGATTAAAGCTTCAATAATTTGCACAAGACACATTCTTAGCTCAAGTTTTATGAACAAGTGCAACAAAATATTTGAGTCTTCACAAACCATAAAAGAATTCCATTTCCAAATGTTTTTGAGTTTGATGTTTTAAATGCTTACCAGCACTGCCAAAGGCTTCATGAATCTCCAAGTGAAAATGATGAACAATGTCTACTAGCTTCTCCATGATCTATGAATACAAGATATAAAACTTCCATCCACAACAACTACATATAAAGTAACTTCAAAATTAAGCAGCAAAAGACAGTAGCAACATTATGTGCAAAAGCTTGCATAAGTTTAGACTCAAAGTCCACCATCAAAAGAAAAAAGATGAAAACCACTAAACTAAAGAAAATGGATAGAGCTTTGCTAACTGATACCTCTTCCAAAATCTTAGACCAAAGAGATTTTTTCTTCAAACTTCTCACATGCTTCTTTTGACTCTTTAACTCAGCTCTCAATATTGCAAGGCTGTCTCCTACACGCCAAAATTAAAAAAATAATATCAAAGGGGCTTAAATGACATTAGCTATATTCCATAACATTAACAAGGTCGGGGGAAAAAACTCAAACGTAAGGCACCTTCATCCTTACGAGAATCGAGACAGTAAATAATTATTGCTGAGCACTGTCTTAGACCTAGAAATATCCATTTTGACTCAACCTAGGCCTCTGAAAACAAAGGCAGAAATACAGGGCCGGACCCAGCAATCGAATGTAGCATTGACTAAGGTCCAGCAATCTAAAATATGAAAGATGCAATAAATCCAAAGGAAACAATACCTGGATGCACATAGAACTTCAGAGAAACTTTGCAAATGAAATGTCATTAGAATGAGCACTAAAATGCCTGAGAAAGCCCATAATAACACTTACCAGTCCTTTAAAACTAAAACCGAATTGGCCACATAGGGTTTGAATAGAAATACAGAAAAAGAAATTGTTACTTCTACATATCTGCAGTTTTTGTGGGTTCAATATACTTCACCACTTTAATCTAGAAATACAAATTAGAAACAATTTGTAAATCTAGAAATAAACTAAGCTACAAAAAAAAAAAAAATTATAATAGAGATCCAAACAACAGGTCACCTCTTTGAGCAGCATTTGAATTATCCTCTTCCTGAAGCTTACGTCGATAATCTTGTTCAAATCTGTCCAAGGCATGCAATTCGTGATATAATTCCTGCAAAGAGAACAGTTCTCTCCTTGAATGATTAGAGATAACACATCAGTTTTAAACACAGAGCCAATGAATTGTGCCATCATTTATATGCCTTCTTTTATAAGAAATGCATCACCACATTAAATTTTCAAAGCATGAAATTTTCAGCAATCTCAGCTAATCTAAAATTGTGTACTCCTTTTGTTCCTTTAACCAATCAGCTTAAACTATCAATTACCAAACAAGCATACAAGGTAACTCTTCTCTCACAGAAAACACCTACATGCAGTTATAGTTACAGCTACAATTTTCAACTTGCACGTTGCACCAAATCACTCCTCACTAACCAATCATCAAAGGAGACAAGACAGCTTCTCAACTTACCAGCATGTCCAGCACAGGAGTTTAGAGTTCCATGTCATACTTGTCAGATAGATTAAAATATCAAATAAAACAAACTAGGCTATTTAGAGGATGATTACGGATTTCTTTCACTTTACAAAAGGTGGTGATATAGCATTGTCACGGTAAATTTTAAAGAGATAAAACTGCTATGAGGGACAAAGAACTGCCTTAAATTGCAGAGATAAAGAAGCATTTGGTCCTTATAAATTCCAAGGTCAAACATGCAGGGCATTCATCCTCTATACAAGCGTGAAAATCAAGCCTTAATGGATTTAAATTGAACATATATATTTTACAATCCTTTAAGAAATCATCTTAATTTGCAGTTCCAAGGTCAGACATGCAGGGCATTCATCCTCTATACAAGCGTGAAAATCGAGCCTTAATGGGTTTAAATTGAAGACGTATATTTTACAATCCTTTAAGAAACCATCATAATTTGCAGTTTGTCATCTACATCAAGGTTTTGTGGTCAAAATTCCTCTAAACTACATAAATTATCCAATATAGATAATAAGGAGAGAAGCAGCAAAAAGACAGAATTTCAGATGAATGCACAATGTGGGAGCAACACAAATAATTTATGATAATAAGGAGAAGCAAGGAGGGCACTCTCAAGCCAATGGAAATTAGTTAGTGTCATTGGCAAATTTTGCTTGCAAAGATATGAAACAAAGCCACAAATCAACAAAGTATTGGAATAGATAGTAAGTTTTACACCTATGGATGCCTGTGACAAGAATAAAATGAAAACCACATAAGCATTCTCACACAACTTATTCAAGGGCCTCAACAGTAATAAATCAGCTGACAGTCATATTTTGGAAGACTTTCATAAAGTCACAATCAATATGTGATGGGGGTCAAGGAATTAAATTTTGATTCATCATTATCAACAATGATGCATTCACATGGTCAAATGCATTAGAACAAAATGGCATCAACATAACAAATTTCAAATAGATAATTTCAGAAGAAAATATTCTGAACTGCACCCTGTTAATCATAACAAGCCCTGCAATTATGATATCTACCCAGCAGCACATATTCAGAAGAAAGAACAAAAAAAAAAAAAAAGAACTAAAAGCCAATCTCTTTGCTGCATGCGACATAATTCATTCAATGTCTCAAAACACAAGGGGAAAAAAGAAATCTTTTCTCCACAACTTAGCACAAGATGGAAGATATAGGAATCATCTTGGTTTAAACAATATAATCTTAGACTGATACTTACAGCTGTATACTGAACCAAAGTCATCAATTGTTGCATTATTGTCTCTGCTTCTTCCTTCAATTGCTTTTCAGGAATAAGTTCTGAACCCAACCTAAAATTATAAAATATAATGCATGAGAGAATATTAAAATATTACTCTAATTTCATAAATAACACTTGCAGAGTGCAAGAAGCTAAATTACTTTTCAAAATAACGATCCAAATTGTGCCACTGAGGATCTTTACAACGATTGCCAAATCGTACCACCTCTCCAGAAAAAACCTTTAACTCTTCCCTGTTGGAAGTGGAGAACAAAAACATTTAACATTCCCATATTTTTTTAGAACATAACCACCATTTTAGCATATTAACAAATTGTATAACAACAGAATCATTTTCAAAGCAATATGGCATTTTCTGCATTATCAACCTCTTATCAACAGCTGCAATTCTCAGCAGTTCATCCATATCTCTTGATATTAGATTTTGCACTCCTTCTGATGGAAGGACCACCTCTTTTAGATGTCTAATGTTCTCCTCGGAGAGCGATTGCATCAGATTGGCACCTTTAACAATTGTATTTGCAACTTCAAAAGCTAGAATTGATATTTTATTTCCTTTTGTTGTTACCCCTGAGGTAAAGCCACTGCTGAGATTCAAATTTGTCATGCTACTACCCAGGGTGTCCAGAACTTCCACTGCCTTTCCAAGCCCAGCAGTACCAGCTCTACCTAAAAGAGAGCTAACCTCAGAAACCTGCAAAAGAAAGCAAGGGGTTGATCTTTCCAATAATTGTCAAGCGTGTTTGGTGGACCATACTCATCAAATAAAGTTGTTGCAACTGACAAAAAGCAAATTAATAATAGTAGAACCAGAAGCATCCCTCTCTGCTCAAATCTCAGTAAGGAGCTAACAACCAGAAATTATAATGCTAGAATCCACCACATTACAATACAAGGACAATAATCAACAATCTAACTCATCTCTCTACAGGCATGAATTACAGAAAAATTAACAAATTTGTCCATATAAAACAACATATACATCATGCTTTTTCATATAGTTCAGGGGCAACCTCCTATATTTCTAATAGTTTCTTCCATTTTGCCCTTCCGTTCCCAACAAACAATAAAATTTGCAATCTCAATCCTAGCATATAAAAAGGGCTTAGACACATCTATGATTAAGCATAAAAGATTCCATCGATCCCATACATATTTAAGAAAAAAATGGATGTTATCATAATTGTGCTCAGACTCTGGACTATTCGATGGTATAGAAAAAGATTTCAAGTACAAATTTGAATTGTTTTAATGAATATTTCAGATATATATAATTTCATTTTAATTTTGTTCTCCAAATCCATTAACACCAATCATAGAGCAAAGAGTTGTAAAATGCCTGCCCAAGTTACGGTGACTTGCTTTTCAAAAAAAAAAAAGTTTATGGTGAGTGTCCATATACAAGCAAGATATTCCAATAGCCCCTTAAGCCATTTGTTAAAAGGCCCGACTTCTCTCATGAAACACAAAAAATTCACTGGAGTTACACCATATGACCCATCTGATTCAGTGTTTAAAGGTTAGATAAGCTTCCCTTAAGGTGCGATATTCAGTAAATAGATCACAACAATACAACTAACAGTTAAGGAGAGAAGTATGTGCTAACGTCAGTGGACAGCAGTTAGAAAATGTGAATTGTAGCTTGTTAATATGATTGAAACTTAATCAGTTTACCGTATCAAACGGTCAGAGATATTTTCATCAAAGAAATTATTAAGTGATAATATATAAATGTAGTGTACCCCCAAAGAGAGAAAGTTATCATATGGCCTTGTGGTATTGATATAGTAGGTTTAAGTAAAGAGTGAATCTGTTATAATCACAAAGTCATTACATATAAATATACCCCCCAAAAACAAGTCAGCTTCTTTGACAGACATCATGCATCAATATGGCAACCACAACAAAAAAATGGGATAATGAAATTATAAGAAAAAATATAATAGAATTGAAACTTGCAGCATGTCCAGAGTTGCAACATAAGATTAGATTTTTTCATTAATACCATCATAAAGCCACTTGAAATTGCTTCAATGTCACCCCCCCCCCCCCAAAAAAAAAAAAAACATAAATTGTTTCCCTTATTCATTTTGGTTGAATCAGTTTTAAAGTTTTTTGATACTCATATTATCAGAACATAGAGCTCTAAATCAGGAATTTGAGTCCAAAGTAATGATAGATCTCTTCATCTTATGCAACAGAAAGTCATCCCTGAAACTATCAGTTAATTCCTACATTGATATTCCAGTAGCAAAGACAATTTTTTTCCAGCTCAAATCATATACTATTATTCCTACTCATTCATTGTTATTCCAGTACTAAAAGATGTATTTTTCCAGCTAAGTAATAAACTATTATTTCCATTTAAAACATGAATTTAATAGAGAATATGGTGAAGATAAAGAAACTCACACCTGCACCCAATCCAACCATCACTCACATTTGGCAAACTACATAATCATCAAGGCAATATCTTACAATAGAATTTCTCTAGCTAGACTCAACTTGAAACCCCTGATGCTCAAGTTTGGACTCCTGAGAATCCATTATGTTTTACCACACATATGCATCATAATTCCATGTGGTCCAATAATGGATACTTGTGCTCCTTTAAATATTCTCCTTTCTTGGTTACCTAATTGCTTGTCTTAGTCTTCAATTAAATAACTCTTTGTCCTCTTTGGTTGCATTCTTTGTCGTAACATATTGTACTCTGACAATTATCAAAAGTCAAAACCTATCCTAATTCCTATATCTAGCAAAAAGATATTAAACAGACAGCAAATTTAACCAGTAGCAACTAACTCATTCATCATCTTGGACAGAGAGAAGCCATTTATATGGCTTTGACTAACAAGGTGTCCAACTAACTTTACAAAAGGCAGCTATAAGAATGAGCCCTCAAACCCCCTTTCATTCACCATGCACATTCAGTCTAGAGAACGAGAGAAATTGAGAATGAACAGATAAGTTTCAGCTACTCATGAACATAAATATTTACATCCCTTTCCAATCTCCCAACACCTTCCACATCTGTTTCCTTCCAAGCAAATAATCTATGATTTAAAATGGTAATGCAGACAACAACAACCAGACCCTAATCCATCTTCCCTAAACCTTCTCATAAAGTATTAAGAAAAGAGTCTACTTCAATACAACATAAGAACCTATGGACAAAACAGAAAATTGGGGCCAAATTTGCACACTAGAATTTCAACTTACCTTTGCAACAGCAACCTGCTTAGACTTGGTTGATCTAGATTTATTTGATGGTGCCCTTGACAAACTAGGAATTCCATCATTGATATCATCTGGATTCGCACCATATGGAACTGCACTGATCTCTGGAAATGAAAACGGTTCCCTTGAATCCTTGTTTGCATTATCTGCATTGTCCTCAGTGAGAGGGGGAGCTGAATTGGTGTTTATATTCGCAGGCAGTTCACGGGTCTGAAAATCCATTCGAGAACCTCGACTAAAATGGCCATTAACATGCGGAAAGCCTCCACCGGGAGCATTATCTACAGTGGATCTCCTCGAGCAAAGCCCACCCATTTTTGTTTATTTCCACGAATGTTATACTTCAGTGTTGATTGAAATTTCCCATAAAAAAGCCAAGAAGCTCAAGTATGTACAAGAACAAAGACTGTTTTCTTGTTTTATCCAAACAATCTAAAAATCTAATCAAAAGCTGCTAACTTCTCACAGAACTGAAAGGGCCCCTAGCTACTTATTGAATCGTACCAGTCTAAACATAAAGATATAAACCAAAGTCCCAGCAAAGCATTTACAGTACCAATTTTGATCCATACTGAAGCTCCAGTCCATTAACACCAAGTCTCACCAAACTGTAAAACAGCAAGAAAACAAGCAAAGCCATGAATACAAAATCCAAATAAAGCAGCAATGATTGAACAAAACCCATCTCACAGCATCTTTAAAAATATGCAAAAGACAAATCAGGAACAAAACAAGTAAAAGGATTTTGACTATGCTGACTAAAACAAAGAAAACCCAGAAAGCAGGTAAATACCCAATTAGCAAAAAAAATTTTAAAAAAAATGAAAAATTTGAGATCAAAACACTGCCCAATATATCCAAAAAAAAAAACAAAAAGCTTACCAGGTAGGGAGATAGAGAAACGAGTTGGATCTGAGAAGAGAGAGAGCTTATAAGAGATGCTGGGTTCTGTTGTTTACTAACACGGGCACAGAAGTTACAAAGAGAAGAAAAGAAAAGGATTTTTTAATGATTGTGATGTTGGGAAGAAGAGATCACTGACAACAGCAATAACAAGAGAAAAAAAAAAAAAAAAAAAGGTCTTTATTTTTGAATAAAAATGTGAGGAAGTTACAGTGAGGGAGGAAGAGAGAAGACTTATGTTTCTAAAAAGGGGTTTCAGTCGTATTTATGATGTTTAAAGTATTGATAATTGATATATTTAAATTATATTTTATAAAAAATTAATTTGAATTTAAATTAATTATAATTTTATTTTAATAATTTTAATTTAATAAAAATAATAAATATAACATAAATTATTAATTTAATTTAATTTTATAACTTTAAATTATGTTTTAATTTATTTTTTGACAACTTAAAGGAAAGATAATTTTAGTAATAAAAAGGTTAACATTTTATGTCTAGTGTTGGTATTCTTTGATTTGAATTTTCACCAAAACTGTGTTTTGACTTTTGAACAAAATAAATACCCTAATCTTATCTATCGCCAAACCTACAAATTTTGTTCATTTAAATAGCGGCGTTCATAATTTAATTTTAATCGAGTTAATTAATTTAATTTAATTAATCAATTAAAATTAATTTTAATCAATTAATAAAAATTATTTTAAAAGAATTTTATTTTTTGATTAATTTGAATCAAAAATTAAATTAATTGAATTAATCAAAATATAATATAATTTAAATATAAAATAAAAATATATAAAATTAATCATTTTATTTCATAAGTTGTTAAAATTTGTAACATAATATTTTGATATTTGAATATTTGATTGGATAATTTATTTAGTTTGTTTAAAATATGAAAATTTTAAATTTTAAAATATAATTTAATTTAAATGTATTTATTATTTGATTAATCGAAAAAATTAATCAAATCGATTGAAAAAATTTTGATTAATTAATTTTTGAAATTTATAAATTTAATTTGATTGATAAAAATAAAATAAAATAATTTGATTTTAAATAATTTAATTTAAAATTAACAAAACCGATTGAATAAATAATCTAACATTTAAATATTTAAATTGTAATTTTCAAATTTAAGCAAGGTAATACTGTTCCAAACTTTGTTTTATTTGCATTCTTATGTTTCTTGTTTGCCTTTACTTGCAAAGAATTTTAATAAATTAAAATGCTAAAAAAAATGTCAACTTTTAATTCTTCTTTTATTGAAGCCTAAAAAAATACATTTTACATATATATTTTGTCATTTTTCTTTTCAAAAATACTACTATTAATTAAATAAAATGTTTTTGAAATAAAAATCACCGCAAGTGAAATGAAAAATAATTCATTGAAAACTGGTATCATTAGTTGTTCCGATTGTTTACACCACTTGATTTTGACCACAAAATTATTGCTAATTCATGCAGAATACCCCCTATTTTACGTCCAACCGTTGGGTCAAAATATATGAATTGATAATTTGGTTCTAAACCTAAGAAAAATGAATAAATAAATAAATTCTTGCGTCCAAAATAGCCACGTGCCATCTTTACTCCTTACATCGCCGTAATACTGACTAGTAATCATAAAAAACGATTAATTTGGAAACACAATCATCTAAATAGTTCTAATAAAACGCTTAATTTTTTTACTTGAAATGTATTTATATTATTATCTGTTCCTTTTCTCCACTTTGATTTTGAATCATCATCAGCAAAAAGACATCATCGATAGGCTGGTTCCATTTAACTACAATATTTACAAATATGAATTCGATTTAAATAAAATTCAATTCAATCTTTTTAAGTCGAGCTCAAATTTTAATTCAATTTATTGAGCTAATTGAGTTCGAATTTTTTAATATCTAGTTTGAGTAACTTATAAATTTAATTAAATTTTTATATTTTAATATATATTTTATCATTTTAATTGAAAAATTATTATTTTACCCTTATATATGAATTTGAGTTCGATCTTGAGTTTGCATACAAATAATTGAATTTAAAATCATATATCAAAATTGAACTTATTTTTTATTTAATAAATAAGTCTAATCGAATGAATTCAAGTAATTCATCATTTACTTTGAGTGAGCTCAAACTTAAATTTTAAAATTCAATCAAACTCTAGAATTTTGAATAAAAAATTTTAAGTCAAATTCGAGTTCAAACTTCTTATTATATCAATTTAGCTCGGTTCGATTATACTTTTAGTTATACTTAATCGAAAAAGGATTCACGTAATATTTTGCATCTTAATTTTGATTCAATTTAAATAAATTTTAATTTTAATTTAATTGATTAATACTGTCATAATGTATAGTTCTGTGACATATAGTTATACTTGACTTTAGGAGTTACCATCAATCTTTTTTTTTTGTTTAGATACGATTGACCACGTAATTACATTTGTCTCATTTTAAAAAGATATCTCAACCTTGACTTAAGTATCTTTAAATTGTAGATTATAATCCATGAAGCCTAACTAAGTCAGGGAGTACTGTTACGTTTGACGAAAATTATAGCACCCCACAACGCCTATCGAAGAGTATTACCAGTTTAATTTCATGTTGTCCAAGCCTTAAATTTTTTTTGAATTTTTACCAAGTAAATTTAATTATTGAAATTTGATCTTAAAATTACTCTAATCATGTAGTAATTATTTAAGATAATTTTCTCACCTTAAGAGTATTCATGAAAATTCGTGTCTCACTCCGAAGAGGTTTCGTCATTAGATTTATTAACATATTTTTCAAGACATTATTTTTTAAAACAATCAATAAAATCCTTCAATCATTTGATATGATTTTATTTTGATGCATATCCCCCAATTATTTGGTAGAATTTTTATTTGAAAACCTATTTATGAAAATTTAAAAAAAATTTCATTAAAGCTTTTAATAATTTGGTAAGATTTAATTTAGAAATTTAAATCTTCTAATCATTTGGTAAGATTGAAAAATTATTCTTCGAAAATTCATTATGAAATTCTCCAATCATTTGGTAGAATTCATAATTCAATATTTAAATCCTTCAATCATTTAGTAGAATCATGAATTTATTATTTGGATCCTTGAACTAGGTCAGTCCGCTTTTACTTTTCCTGTTTTTTTACCTCATTGTCTTCTTTTTTGTTTCTCTACAAAATAGTCCATGACTTTGCTAGTGTCTTTCGCCTATGGTGATTGCATTTTTTTCTGGTTTAAAAAAAAAATCAAACAGAAACCTAAAACATATATACTCGAAACTCTCGAAAATTTTGCCACAAAAACTTTTTGTTAAATGCCTCATTTTTATATTTCTTCTCAACTCCTTTCCTTAACACATAACTCCCAAGAGAAAATCCTAATTATTTAAACCCAAAATACTAGAAAAGACTATAATAAAACACTTAGTTTTTTACTTTTTTTTTAACTATTTCTCTATTAATTTTTTCTGATTGATTCTTGATTATTTCTAATTGATCCTAATAAGGTCTTTTTATAGGCCTTTAATCCCAATTACAATAGGAAAATGAGTTTTCTTGGTTTGAATTTTCTAATCAACTTCAACCTTGGATTTTTAATCTAAATTCACCTCTCAAACTAATTCCCTTTTACAGTCATTTTTTAGTTAAGACACTTCTAATTCAATAATCTGATTAGAATTAAATCCTCTTCAAGTTTCAACAAAAAAATTCTCCCCCCCCTTTTTTTAAAAATAATAATTACTCTAAACTAAATACAATACCAAAAATTTTAAAAAATTCAAACTTTAATTTTAAAATATAAATTGACCCTAGACTAAATGAAGTGTTCGTAGCTGCCTCTATTTATGCATTTTCTATCAAACAAGAATTGTGCAAAGATATAGACACCCATTACATCTGGATTTGATACAAAAAAAATATATATAGATATTCTCATCTACAATAAAGATTAGCAATTCACAACTGAAATTCAAAAGTTTGCAACTAAAAATTTAAATATTCACAATTTGAAATTCAAGAATTCTCAGCTTGAAGTTCATAAGTTTGCAATTAAATTCAAAGATTTTCAATTTGAATTTAAAGACTTGCAAAACATTCAAGATTCTCCCAAAAGTTCAAAGATTTGCAAATAAATTGAATTCAAAGATTTACAAAAGTTCAAGGTTCATAAAAGATTCAAGATTTGCAAGAGATTCAAAACTCGCAAAGATTCAAAATTTGCAAAATATTCAAGATTTACAAGAGATTCAAAATTTGTAAAAGATTCAAGATTTGCAAGAGATTTAAATTTGTAAAAGATTCAAGATTTGCAAGAGATCAAAGATTCACAAAAGTTCAAAGATTCATAAGTTTAAAGATTTACAAGATTTGTAAGAGATCAAAGATTCACAAAAGTTCAAAGATTCGTAAAAAATTAAAGATTTGTAAGTTTCAATATTTACAAGTGATTTAAGATTCGTAAAAATTTAAAATTCAAAAATTCGCAAACGATTCAAAGATTTGCAATAATTTAAGATTCAAAGATTCGCAAGTGATTCAAAGATTCATAATTGAAACTCTTAAATATTCCCATCTAAGATTTAAAGGTTCACATTAGAAAAATTTTTTAGATTTTCATAAAAAATTCACATTTAAAAAGATTTTATTGATAGTTTTAAAATCTTATCCTAATAAAACCCTATGGACAAAGGCTTAACAACTTTGAATATATATATATATATATATATATATAAAGGCTCATCTCATCAAAAGTTCAATAACTTTGGAAAGTATAAAATGGATTCTTATCTGAAAAAGATCAAGGGTTTATTCAAATATTCAAATAAAAAATTTAAGATTCTCACCGAAAGGTTTTTGAGATTTACATAATTCTTTGAGATTCACATCAAGGATTCAAATATTCACATTTAAAAATCTTAGAGATTCATATCCAATATTCAAAGATTCTTAATTGAAAAGTTCAAATCTAAAATTCAATCTCTCAGGGATTCGCCTAAGAGATTCTCACCTTGAAATAAAAAAACTCTTCTAAATAGAGGCTATGAAACTTTAAAAATTAGAAGAGCTCCTTAACCAAGGTTTACTAACTCTTCTCGAAATCATTTTCTTTATCCAAATTTTTTCAACTTCATCTTCACAAAGTTTTCCTTATACAAGGATCAAAATCTCATTAAAAGGCTTTATTTTTGCAAAATATTTCCTTAATCGAGGATTATTACCTTA